CTCTGCCACAGCCACCGGGGGGGCTCTGGCAGAGGGAGGGGGTGGCCGCCGTACGCTGCCCCTTTACAATGGCTTTGCTTTTTTGTCTTTCAGACGTACATATGCATATACAGTCCTGTTTTAGATGTTCTTATAAGAAAACCAGTTTTTAATGTGCCAAGTTGTATATATCTGCTGCGTGGATGTAAAGCAATACAGTAGTTACATGTTCCTTTTTAATGGACCAAGCTTGTCCTAATGTACATTCTTGTTATTATTATAATTATTTTACTCTTAGTGGAACATGACTCATTCCATTAACTTTTATGTGTTGATTTAAAAAGAAAAAAAAAAAAGAAAGGAAAAAACCCTTTGAGAAAAAATATTTTATTAAAAAAAAAAAGAAATAAGAAAATAGTTTGGAATATTTTCTTACTGTAGAGAAGCACTGTACAGTACCAGGAACCCTGAGTATAAAATACTCGTGCGTGTAGTAGGAATATCGCATGTCCAAAATCTTGAGTTGTCTCATTTAGTTTAAAACAGAAATCATTGTCTCAAATGGTGTTAAACACTAAAAAGTTTTTAAAAAATAAAGTGCGTACAGAAGCGAGACACTAGCTCTGTCATTTTATCTTTCTTTTGTTGAAAGACTAAACAAAATGTTTTTTAGACAATCAAATGTTAGGTAAGTGCAAAGAATTGTTTTTCTTACTGGTGTAGAAATTAATGACTTTTTTTATTTTTCGGTTATTTTATAATAATGAGAAGACCAGTGTGTCACCAGGATCGCTGTTTTAAGACCAGGAAGCACTACATTATTGCAAATAGATATGAACTCTTAGTCTGCATGGGTGTAGGCTGTGTGATTGCTGAAAATAAATGCTGCTAATATATTTCCTTTTTACAAAGCATATCTAAATAGATCATTGTTTTGATGTTAATCTTTGTAAATTATGTATTACCAATTTTAACATTGGATGTAATTGCATAAAAAGCCTGCATCTCAATCCTGAGAGAGTCTAGTATTAAATGGAAAAATCTTTTCCTATTGATGACTTGTGGGGTTTTCTTTGACATGTCTTTGATTTTCTTTTCTTGCCTCTTTGTCTCAACCGCTCCTGTCATGTTCTGACTCTCTTACAGCCACGTTTCCAGGGGGGCTTGCCCCATCTCTTTTGGGTGATGGCGTTTTGTGAGGATTTAATTTGATGCTGATGGGTCTCCTGGTCAGACCATGGCAGGAGGGATGCTGGCAGCGTGCGTGCAGAGAGAGGAGCAGCAGCACAAACAAGCCCTGTTTGGTAGTTGGAGGGTGTGTACCCGTGATCATATATGATGGCAGGTTGGTACATGAAACATTAAATCTACAAATTTAGTGACTATTCCCAGAATATCATCCCCGGGGACGCGGCGCTGTCCCCTCCCACGCCTGCCCAGAGAGCAGGTGGGTTCTGTGGCCACGGGGGGTGCGTGTCCTGGGGCAGAGCAACTTCCCCCACCGGTGCTGGAGCAGCGTGGGCTCAGGCTGTCACTGCCCCTGACTGTCCCCACTGCCAGAAAGTGGAGCTGTTGGGGGCTCTCAGCCCGCCCCGTGCCTCCGGGCTCACGGCGGGACCCTGAGGAGCACAGACATTGAGAACTTGGTGCCCTCAGCCTTGCTGAGGCTTCATCAACCTCCTGCTCCCTCCAGTACCCGCAGCCAAGGTTGGCACTGGTGAGACACAGGCCTTGCCAATCTTCTAGGTTTTAAACTTCCTCTGGTTCAAAAGTGGTTTCTGGGAATAAATTTGGTAACTATTTGCATTAGTCACTTGGGAATGAAACAGCTTCTTGATGATCCCCTTTAACTTCATGTTTCCTTTTTCCATTTCCTACCCTCAATCTCTGTGGTCATTAAAATGCCATGCTTGACCCGTACACTTGTCTTCCTTTTAAAGTAGAGTCACCAAGCCAAGGATTGTAGTGGTTTATTTATTTTTTTTAAAGTTGAAAATGTACCTGGATTCAACTCCTGCTGGTTTGACCCCATTTCAGAGTGCCAGAGGCAGCTGTGGAATTCAATCAAACCTACTTAAGGCAAGCCAAATAATATTCCAATTAAGATATAATATCCCTTGTCTGAGAGCAAAAATTCCAGAGAGAAAATGGAAATGAGAACAGAATAAAGAGAGCTGCTTTATCCTTGAAGTATGGCCTGTTGAAGCATGGTCTCCTTTGCCACTGAAACAGTTAAAGTTAGAAGGATGAAATGTGGTTCTTGGCCCACAGGAGAGAGCACTGGCCCAAAAGTTGTCCTTAAAACAAGCTGCTATTGCCTTGTGGCCCTTTGTGGGACCCTGCACTATGTCCATGTCTTTTTTTTTTTTTTTTTTTTTTTTTTTTTTTTACTGGGGAACCCAGTACAAAATATCAAGTGTGGTATGAAATCACAAACCCTGAGAAAAACTTGAAAAAAAATACAAGCCATCCACCCCCTACTGAAATCCTGTGACTTGGTAAAGAGATTAATTTAAATAATTAACTAAAGGTATGTGTACCTTTACCCATGCTGTGCAGCTTCCCTCTCGCGGTGTGATGGGCCTTTCCCAGGGTTGTTCCTGGCTCTGGGTGGCTGCAGCCGCTTCTTCCTACACGGTGTAGGAGACTGGGCCCCTTCTGCGGGGTGACACTGCCTTACTGGGCTCTGGCTGCTCCCTGGTGCTGCTGCTCTGGGCCCCAGCACACCCTGGCACATGCTGGCTTCCCCCACAAGAGATTTCCCAGACTCATCCGGGTTGGAAAAGCCCCTGAAGCTCCTCCAGCCCAACCACGAACCTCCCCCTGACCCTTCCCAACTCCCCCAGATCCCTCAGCGCTGGCTCAGCCCGACTCTTCAACCCCTCCAGGGATCCCGGGGACTCCCCCCTGCCCTGGGCAGCCCATTCCAACGCCCAACAGCCCCTTCTGCACAGAAATCCTTCCTCAGAGCCAGCCTGACCCTGCCCTGGGCAGCTTGAGGCCATTCCCTCGGGGCCTGGCGCTGGGGCCTTGGCTCCAGAGACTCATCCCCCCTCTCTGCCCCCTCCTGGCAGGGAGTTGCCGAGGGCCAGGAGGTCTCCCCTCAGCCTCCTCTTCTCCAGACTGAACCCCCCCAGTTCCCCCAGCCGCTCCCCAGCAGACCTGTGCTCCAGACCCTGCCCCAGCTCCGTTGCCCTTCTCTGGCCACGCTCGAGTCATTCAATGGCCTTTTTGGGGTGAGGGGCCCAAAACTGAACCCAGGAATCGAGGGGCGGCCTCCCCAGTGCCGAGCCCAGGGCTCAGATTCCTTTCCTGTCCCTGCTGGCCATCTGCTGCTGATAGATTTACCCAACCCCAGCCCAGGCCACCCAGGCAGGGGCCACATGGCCATTTCCAGCCCCATGATCCATTCACACAATCAGACACATGAGTCACAACCTTTATTTCCAACTTTTTCCCCTTGGAATAAGCTCGTTCCTGTGGTTACAACTATTTACAGAGTGCTGGGACTGTGCAGCAGCAGCTGGGGCTGGCCTGGGCCCCCAGCCCCGGGGCAGAGCAGGGCACGTGTTGGTGGCAGCAGTGGCAGGACATGACAGCACAGAGACGACACAGGAGCGAGTAGGGCTCGGGGCCAGGGGCCTTCCCTCCCCTGGCACAGGCGTGGGCAGCAGCTGAGAAACACAAGCCAGAGCAGTTCCCAAAGGGCAGCCACGGTGAAACGCCAGCAGGGCTGCGGGGCCAGGCGCAGCAGTGGCTCACGGGGTGCACCCACGGTAGACGGTAACGTCACACGAACGAGCAGCAGCAACGGCACCGGGACAGGGTCCCCTGCAGTGCTGCCACCCCCGAAGGTGGTGAAGCCGTGGCAGGAGCCCGCCTTGTCCTTCCCAGGGGGCAGCACCTGCTTCAGCAAGCTCAGCTGCTTCCTCAGGTCTCCTCCCGCCTCCTCACAAAATTAGGGACGTGTAACCAACAGGAACTAGGCCAGTGCTGTTTCCATGGCAGCAGCGGATCCAGTCTTCATCCACTGTGGAGAGCAGCTGCAGGATGTCCCCTTTTTGGAAGCTCAGGTGACCGTCAGCAGTGCCCAGGTGGTCACACAGCGCCCGAACTGCCCTGCACAACAAACACCATCGGGGGTTCACCCCCTGGACCCCGGGTACCACCCAGAGAGCTCCCACAGGGCTGGGAGAGGTTCTGAAGTTCACGTGCGGAGCCAGCAACCCCCCTCCTCAGGCAGCCACCGTCTGAGGATGGATGTCACTGAGAAGCCACATGACAAAACCCTGCTGCAGAACTGACCCTGGGGCAGCAGCAGAGTGGGAGCAGCTCTTGTGCAGAAGTGGTGGGGAGATTGAGGTGAGGGCCAGGAGCGGGCTGGGAAGAAGGGAGGTGGCCAAACGGGGCATGGGGTGGCCACTCGCCCGTCGCACTCGCTTGGCCAGACACTGCACGAGCACAGAGAGACCACGGCAGCTCCTCTGACCTGCGGCAGTTTGGTCAGAGCTGACACGTGGTGGCTCCAAACGAGCTGCTGTGAATCCAGAAAACCCACAGGAGAGAAAATGTTCAAAATTCCTCCAAAAAACGTCTGCAAAGAACAACTGACCCCAGCTGAGCAGACACACAGGTTCACCCAAAGCTCAGGAGGAGATGGCGGAATCCCTGGGGCAGGGATGGGACAGTCAAGGTCCAGTTAGCAACGAGGATTGGTGCAAGCCCCTCCTTAGGGACGCTTGTAGGATACCCAAGCCACGTCTGAAAACAGCCCCTGCTTCTCCCCTCCCCAAGAAAAAACCACCACCAGGTCTCCAGCCCCCACCACCGCGGTGCCCTGCGTCACCTGTGGCTCTGGGGAGAGGCCGACACTTTCCTCTCGGGTTCCGGCACACGCGTCTTCTCGGACGCCAGCCCCTTCACCACCGCGGCCAGGACGCGCGCGCTGGGGGACAGCCAGCTGGAAGGTCTCCTGCACAAAGCAAAGGAAGCCACAGGCTCATCTGGGAAGCCTCTTCCCACCCATCCTGCTCAGACTATTCTGGTGATGCAGGAGCTGGCGAGGGCCCTATCAAGCCCCACCGAGCCTCCACCTCCACGTTCTAAAGGACAGATGCGGTGCAATGGCAGCAGCACTGCTAGTCCTGGGAGCACAGAACCTGGATAACAGGCTGTACAGGACACCCCGTGAGCCCCAGGGTGTGCCTGGGGGAAAAAACCCTTCCTGCCCCGCTGGGCCTTACCTGGACTTGGCTGAGGTGGTGTCAGGATTGGGAGGGAAGCTCCTGGCAGAGGGGCTGGTGGCTCCAAAGAGCCGGCCCAGCCAGCTGCCCTTGTCAGGACCAGGAGGACCACCCGCCTCTGGGTCAGAAGGTGCTGCCCGATCCCCATTCGGACGAGGCTCTGGGGAAACAGGCAGGAGTTTTTCTCCAGCAATGGGATCATCTGGCTTGGTGGGTGCTCCAGCTCCAGCAGCAGGACGAGGTCTTCAGGGGAAGAGGTTCCAGAGGTGTCAGCACTGCTAGTGGCCTTTGGACTGGGGAGTTCAGGGACAGCTTTGGTCTGAAGAAGCTGCAGCTCCGTGCCTCTAGGCTCATTCATGGATGTTTGAGATCGAGCAGCCTGCCCAGGGCTGGACTCCCCCGCAGCCGTCCGCAGCTTTGTCCACCAGATGAAGGGGACCTTTTCCTTGCTAGGAGCAGCATAAATCCTGGAGGCCTGGCTCAGCTGGCCCCACCAACCACTGAGGCCAGCCCCGGCATCCTGAGGGCCTGCCTCAGACCTGGGGGTCTCCGGGGAGCCATCAGCTCCCAGGAAAGCCCGACTGAGCTGGTCGCCCCATCGCAGCACATGCTGGAGGGTCTGCTGCAGGGCAGCCCCCACCTGGGGAGCAGGGACCAGCCCACGCGCAGCAGCTTGGGCCTGGGACCTTGTGCTGCCCTCAGCACTGGCTGCCCGCCCCAGCGCATCGGGGATCTCCTCTTCCAGGCTGGCCCCTCCAGCGCCGCTTTGGCCCCCCCGAGCAGGCTGCACAGCCCCCCGAGCCTGAGCAGAGTGACGGGCAGGAGACAGGGGTGACTCCAGCCGACGGGACAAAGGTCTTACGTCCATGGAGAGGTGGTGGTGTTCAAAGAGCAGGTCAAGGTGGAACGTCAGCACCGAGAGGGGCTGATGAGCAGCAGCAGTTCATCGGCGAGGTGAGGAAAAGGGCCTTGGCTCAGGGCAAAGAAGGCCGTGGGTGAGTACAGCACAGAGATGACACCTACAAGACACGGACAGTGCTGAACGGATGCAAAATGCCCTGCCCTTGCCCACCCCCACAACCCAGGGCAGCCGGTCTGTCCCAGCAGGTCAGACAACCTTCTGCTGTATTAAAGATGCACCATGGAAAACGATGCCCTTCTCCACTATGGAAACCCCAGCCAAGCATTGTGGGTGCAACGGGTATGGGATTATCACCCTGGCAAGTAGGAAAGGACGTGGGAGGGGAGCTTCTAGGCACTGTGTCCTTACCTGGGCTCTTCTGCAGCTGAGAGATCCACAGCTCCAGCTGCTTAATGCTAAACAAGACAAAGGGAACCCAAGTTAGAGCTCCTGGGGCTCTGTTCCAACCTGCCATCACAGCCAGGACAGCCTGGGCCAGCTGGGCCAATACTCACTTCAAAAGGCCGAGGATAAAGGCGTGAAACTTCTGTCTGGTGCTGCTGAGAGGGGCCAGCCCGGCCACGTGCCAGCACAGGGAGTGGAGCGAGCGGGTGTTGGGGCCTGTGGAAACACAGCTCAGAGTCACGGCTCTGGGCACACGTCCCCCCTGCCTGGGCACCTTGAGGTGCCAACAGCTCCATGTTCCTCACACCAACCTGTCTTCACGGAGGCTTCCACCACGCTCCAGGGGGAATTTTTCCTCTGGCCTGTGATAACATCCTTCTGGAAGGGCTTCAGCCCGTCCTCCACCAAGGCATAGAGCGCAGGGCAGAGGGTGTGCAGCAGCAGGTAACCCACGTCAGGGCTGAGCCGGCTGTCCCCCAGCTGGGCCTGCAGCAGGGCGGCACGAGGAGGGGAGAGGGAGAGGAAAGGCAGCACCTAACCCCGAGTCTGCAAGGCAGGATGGTGGGATCCTGCCCCTGGAGCTCCCAAAGCCC